GTAGTAAAATCATATAGAGAAATGAATGAACTGATGTTAACTGAATTCCCTAAGGCTATGTTTGGTTTGAAAGAAAAGGTTAGAAGTAAAAGGTAMGATACCTATACAAGGTTTGTACAGGTTTCTAAACCTTTTCTTTCAAACCAAACACAGCCTAAATTCATAACAATTAACTTCCCAACTATATAAGGCTGCAACTTGGGCCGGGTTGGCCCGAATCCAACCCGAAAACGTTGGGTTGGGTATGCTCGGGTTAGGGTTAGGGTTGAAATTCATAAACCCGACTTTACTTCAGGTTGGGTTAGGGTTAACCTCTCGGGCAACTCGACCTAATCCGAACCCGACTCTATAATACATGTCATATATATAATATATCATACATTGATTTCTTTAGATGCATGATAGTTATATAGCCCCACCACATAGTATCATGTATTGTATTTCTTTTAAGATAATCACTTCACTTAATCCTAATCGGAAAAAATAAAACCATAATAACATATTTTATGCTTTCTTTTGAGTATTTTATTCTTCATCTCTTCTTTGTTGTTTGTCACTCATAAAAGACCTATCATAGTTATAACTCATAATAAACTATAATCATTTCAAACACTTATTGTTCTGAATGTTGTATTAAAAAAATCAATAAAAACATCAACAAACAAATACTAATGAAACATCATATTAATATATGTAATGAAAGTTGAATTAACATTAGAAATTGAGAAATGCTATTAGATTTTAAGGGATGGAAAGAAGGTTGGATTGGGTCCAACCTGAGCCCAGCCCAACCCGAAGTTGACTTCGAGTTACATTGGGTTGGGTTAAGGTTAAAAGAATTTAGTTAGGGTTAAGGTTATGATTGGGTAGGTCGAGTTGAAGATCAGGTTAAATTAATATTATGATTGGGGATTTAGAACTTAAGATTGAATTAGGGTTGGCCTCAACTCGACCTAACCCAGCCTTACTTGCAGCCCTATAACTATATGCATAACATCCTTTTTGACTGTCTAGTTTAAAAGCCGTGGTGTCATCCTCCTACATGAAATGAAAAATCTTAGGTGTTGAGATGAATTAATTGATTTTTTATCTTAGGAGTTTCTTATAAAGGGTTTCTATGTACAAAAGTTTCATGGACCCTGTAATACCTATCAGTCCTGCAGCTGAAGCCACGGTCCATGTTGCCTATACCAAGACTGAAAATCTTTATTTATTTTCCATATGTGTTTGGGTTGACAAATAATGCTATCAACTACAGCCCAAAACATTCAGTATTGCCCTGTGAATAAATATGGGGCCATTCAGAACAAAGAAGATGCCAAACCAACTGGTGGGATCGTTACTTCATGCTCCGACAGCTCCGTACCCGATTCCTAAAATGAATCGCGTTAGTTTGTTAGCCCGTGGTATGTAGGGGAGCAAGTCGGGCAGGTTGGGTCCGTTTATAGCATAACCGAGATCCAATCCCTAAGAATTGGGCTTCAGGTCCGAGCCATCAAGTCAAACTATCCAATTCAAGCAAAGCCTGTATTAAGATTTGATGCAGTTGTGTTGGATCCGGGCGTGGGCTATACTTTGATTGATCAATCAGCCTATACTAAAAATTGGTATATATATATATATATATATATATATATATATATATATATATATATATGTATATGTATATATGTATTCATATATGTATGATTTATTAAAAATAATTATATATATATATATGTATGCATATAAATGTGTCTCTATATACATATATACATATATATAATCAGATAGAGGCATAAAGCTTGAGTGAGACAAGGTCAAGCTAGATTTGGGCAATCTAAAGGCTAGGTCTGGGCCCAACCCAAAAAACTAAAAAGCCTGAACTTTTGGATCCAGGCTCAGATAAGGATAAAAAAGTAAGCCCATCCCATATTAAATTGTGAGCTGGATTGGGCTTGGGTTGAGCCCACCCAAATTACAGCCCTAGTAGCATGGGTGTGAGGCTCTCCAGAGTTGGAGAGATCCGGAAATTGTGGTTGCTTCAATTGGTCTATGATCATCACCAGGACTCCGGGTTCCTGCCCACAATAACTCTGGATCTCCGTGCAGGAAATCCGGACTTCATCACCAGACGCCAGACCTCTGTCAAAATCCGTAAAATTATTCGTTCAATTATAGATACCCCTCTTTCCTCGAGTGTAGCAAATCTGCTACAACAAAATCTGTTTTCTATTACCATTTCCCATGCCTTTTGTACAGATGAGTTTTCTTTGTGGCAAGGTTCAAAGTGTTGACACATATCAGATCGTATTGACCGATACGTATTGTTCCAGCACCCCTCCGATATGCCCCTACAGTGGGTGTATCGAGGGTTTGACTGGTCTAGGGGATGGAGGAGACCTAAACTGGCCCCCCTGAACTGGTTGCAAAAAATAAATAAATAAACATATAGAAAAAGGGTATCGATTCACTTGATACGCCCATACTGGCATATCGGGCGTATCGATATTTTGAACCTTGCTCTGTGGTAGTTAAACATAGCATTTTCTGGCTCTTTTCCTCCAAACTTGAGGATTCTTCAATCAAATATAGCAATGATGGTTATAATTATTGTGTGTTACTTTGCACCATGCATATAAGGGTGTCAATGGATCAGTTTTGGATTGAACCCTGTCCCGTTCAAAATCAATTTGGACAGATTGGATGGACTGACAAGACATTTGGATTGGACCAATTTGTTCTAAAATATTTATTAGATTGGATTGGACCTGGTCCATCCATAATAAAAATATATTGGATTGGGTTGGATTAAGCCAATATCTGGTCCATTGATATAAGATAAGAATTATAGGTGTCAATAAACTGGGTTTGGGTTAAAATCAATCTAAATCAAAATGAATTAGAACAGATTGGATGATTCAGACATTGAATTGGATCAGTCCAAAATAATCCAAAATATTCATTGGATTGGATTAGACCTAATCCATTTATAATAGACTCACATTGGACTGGATCGGATTGGGCCAAATCCAGTCCAATGAACACCCCTACATGCATACAAAGTACAAGCAGATTAATTGATTAAATATGCTAGGAATATGTGAGTGAATATAGCACATACATATTTGAGAGAGCTCCATTCCCACTCATGTTTCTCTCGTAAGAAATATAATTTGCTTCTTAAATAATAACAAGCAACTGTGTAAATGGGCTAGTCCGGGTCCATGAGCCCAATAGTAAAGCTAAAGACTAAGTGTCATAAAAGTCTGAATATATTAAGAATTTTATAATTGCCTGAATTATTAACTACTAATAAGAACTAAAATGAAGGAAAATATAAAAAAAAACAAGAATAATAAAAATATACAACAATAGATGAATTGACAAATTAAAAGAGAGGAAGGAGCTTCTGAAAGAAACCTGGACAGAAATTTTTATAATCTCCTGGGGCCCAAGTATATTGATAAGATTTTCAGATTTTGGGTCACTTTAGATAATAGATTTCCGTGGGCCAAACTCAGGCGACAATCAATAAATCGGGCTTGACTTGTAAGTGAAACATACCTGTTGGGGCCTATAGGACTGGGAGCAGGTGTGGACTATCCATATCAAGGGAAGGAATTTCTGTATCGAAGAAGGTAAATATTAAAGGGTTCAGCTATGATATAGAAAATAAACTTCTTAGGCTTGGGTAAAATAAACTTCTTAGTCCTTTCAAACAAAAAATAAAAAATAAAAAAATGAACTTACTTAGTTAATACAATTTATAAGGAGCGATGGATTGTTATGTCAAATGTGTTTTCGCTTTTTTTTTTAATTTTGTCCCTTACTCCTTTTATATTCTGACTTGGCTTCTTGTAGGAGGTTATTTGATTCTCTCCCTCTTTTTTTTTTTTTTTTTCTATCTCTCTCCCCATGCCCGACCGAGAATTGAACGTATGCCCGACCGACAATTCATCATTCACATGAGAATCAATATAGAAGGGTCTCCCTTAACTAGCTCCATTATTAGGAACTTTTCGACCCCCAAACCAATTATTTTCTGTGCTATCTTGAATTATTAAAGATCTGAAAATTTGGATGGAATTTCAGTTTTGGAGAGTTCTAACAGCATGTGCGGTGTACATATTTATATTTGTATTCTTCCCAAACTAAGGCCATTACCTCAATTGGGGAAGTGAGAATGTGGATGGGCATATGATATCATATCAGGAGCTTCTCCATCTGGGATGGTCTAGATCAGTCTTATTCACATTATTGTATATCTTTAGAGAAGAGGCATTAGTCCAAGCACATGGCTAGAGGCAAGTTTTTTTGAATGTGGGCTGAGCCCACCATAAATTTTACTTTGGATGCCCACGGAAGCCCAAACAATTAGCTCAGATACTTTGGATTCCCGGGTTGACTTGGCCTGTGCATCTCCGTCGCATGTTTCTGCAGCAGCTGATCCAATGTTTGGAAGAACGTCGTCCAAGTTCAAAAGACATTCCAAATACACATTCAATTTTTATGTAAATTGGAGATTCCAACTATCTCGCTCTCTAGGCCTATCTCATATTTGAACAGAAAGTAGTACAGATCGACGGAACAAGGATGAAAGTTGAACCCGTGTCTGTGTCCTACAAATAGAGTAAAAACTAAAGAGAGAGAGAGAGAGAGAGAGAGGTAAGTGAAAAAAAAAAAAAACTTAAGAGGAGGGAGGAGGTTGTTTTCAAGAGTTCAATCAGTCCTCAAATTAAGGGATTTCCCATATGACCTTTCTCCCGCAAGAAGACATGAGATTAGAACACCCCACATTGACGTGTCGACGAAATGAATTGATTTAACGATGGTCGATGGAGAAAGCACGGATAGCCACCTCTGTCTTTACTAATGAGTGGTAATTTCCCCTGTGCCTCGTCCCTACGAAAATGGCCCCATTGACATGACTCCAACATTGCTGTTTACTTGCTTTTATAAAGTGGGGGGGAAAAGTATTATGACACCTGAATCGCTTGATTTTGGAAGGTTAGTGCAACTGGGAACCATTCCCATTGGATCGGAGGTTGGGCCCCTGCCAACCAAGAGTTTCATGGTGAAATCTACCTGTCTCGTCGGTGCCTTGTCTTCTGAATCATTCGGAACGTTCCGATGTCAATACAAATTTAAGTATATCTCTGTACCTCGTAGGTCCAGTTGCGTAGTATTTAGCAGGCTTGCAGCGTGAGAAGGACCTCCTCTGTGTCGGTGTTGCGGAAAGTATTGTAATAACCATTTTCATGGCTCCCTACAGCTTAGTCTGTCGTACCCTCATCATTTTTGCTGGTCTTTGTGCTGTTGCTCAATGCAAGCTTTCATCTAATCACTACTCATCGACATGCCCAGAAGCTCTTTCCATTGTCAATAATGCTGTAATTGCAGCTATTAAGAAGGAGACGCGAATCGGTGCCTCTCTACTTCGATTACATTTTCACGACTGTTTCGTAAATGTAAGCATTGTTTTGACCCCCGTCCTATCATGCATCAATTTGTGTTTATGTTTAATGATTAGGTTAACTGACTGGTAGCTAATAATCGATCGATGCACTGTTTCTGATTATAAGGGCTGCGACGGATCCATACTTCTGGATGACACGGCGAGCTTCACTGGGGAGAAAACAGCAGTTCCCAACAATAACTCTGTTCGAGGGTTCGACGTTGTCGATGACATAAAATCACGCTTGGAGAAGAAGTGCCCTGGAGTTGTGTCGTGTGCTGATATTCTCGCTCTAGCAGCTCGTGATTCGGTTGTATATGTGAGGAAACCCGACCACATGAACATTGTCGATTTTTCTATAATGGCACTACTCTCTCTCTCTCTCTCTCTAGAAATGGACAGCTGGGTCAACGTTATTAGCTGTGTCGACTTCACTATTCAGCATTGAGTCGGCACGGATGAAAACTCAGGCCCTTCAACTTTGGTCGGCTAATCTTGTTGATATTTGATTACCTCTCTCGAGTCAGCTACTTGAGACTCCGAGTTAACTCTAGAATTTGCGACACTTCAATTAATGTTGGCAACTCCTGATCTGTCTCAAACCTGTCTTGTGTTTCAAGGCAACCCACCCAGTTAAAATTAGGATCAAAATTATATTATATATGATAATCCGATATTTTCAGTTAGGGTTGAGTACTGGTTGATAACGAGGTTTTGGTCTAAGGTAAGGTAATGAAACAGTTTGTTTTGCGTTTGCGCTGATTGAAGAAGAGTTCCAAAAGTGGAGTCGCAATGAGAATGAGATAGCTACTCTGGCACACTTTTGCTGTGATTTTGTGGAGAGAAATTTAGCCGATGGTCAGCCCGAACCGTTGAGCCGGGTCCGATGGTGAACAGCTGGTCAGCTGGGTGTGGGGGACACTGACACCCTATACTCCTAGAGAGAGAGAGAGAGAGAGAGGGTTATAGTTAATTTCTGGGAGATAGCTCTGGAAATCCAATATTAATTATCACCTAAAATTTGTATTTTGATGATTTTTAGATGAATTGAAATTGACGTGGAGTCTGGTCTGTATTTTTCAGCTGGGTGGGCCTTCATGGACAGTTGAACTAGGAAGAAGAGATTCTATTACAGCCAATTTAACAGCTGCAAACTCTGATATCCCAGCACCCACCTCAAATCTTAGCGTCCTTGAAACTAGATTTGCTGCGAAGGGGCTTTCTGTGAAAGACATGGTGGCTCTTTCAGGTACGTACGTTTAGGATGAAGATGAAATGAAGGTTGGCTCTTGGCTCATGAAATGAAACTCCTAATTAATTATTAACTTATTTTAAAGATATAACGGCACTGTTGTATATCCCCAATTAATTATATTTTGAAAAGTAGGTAGTAAAATTAAGAGTTGTTTAATTCAACTGGTTCACCCTGGCTGGTTATTGCAGGTTCACACACAATTGGGCTAGCCAGGTGCACAACGTTCCGTAGTCGGATCTACAACGACTCCAACATCGATGGCACCTTGGCAATGTCGTTGCAGCGCAAGTGCCCAAGAAGTGGCAACGATAACAAACTTGCAGGCCTCGATGCACAAACCCCAACATACTTCGATAACTATTATTATAAGAACTTGTTGAAGGGAAAGGGGCTTCTTCATACTGATCAGGAGCTATTTAATGGAAGCTCCTCCACTGATTCTCTGGTTAAGAAATATGTTGGCAACCCATCCAAGTTCTTTAAGGATTTCGCCAAAGCCATGGTTAAGATGGGTAACATTAGTCCTCTCACAGGTAGTGAAGGGGAGATCAGATTCAATTGTAGAGAGCTTAATTAATTACGGTCGATGCATTGGGCCTTGGAGTGGGTCACGCCATGCACATGCTCTCTTACTCACTCCTGCAGGATTTGGCTTTGACAGATTCTTGTGGAGATCGAGGGTCCCCCGCCAAGTGCGAAGCCTCCTACATATCTTATATTTTAATTATCTGTCTACCGTATAATACAATAACACTTTCATTAATATTTGTATACATTAGTTTATAATTAGCTTGTCTTTTTAATCAAAGGAAATTTATTTTCTGTATATTTTAGCTACTTAAGATCATTAATTAATACAGAATTACAAGGAACAACCTAACCTGTTCCTGTTAACAACTTAAGATAGGGCTAAGGTACCGACAAACGATCTTAATTATCACTTGCATGGTTAGATGGGAGATTTTAGATCTCTTCAAAATCCAATAAGGCTGCGTTTGATTTAAACCAAAAAGGCAGGGATAGCCAGCAAGGGTGCACTTATACTAGTGCAATTTTATTTGCACTAATATAAATGCATGCGAGTGCAAATAAAAAATGCAAATTCTAGTTTAATTTTTTTTGGGTTTTACTTTATTCTGTTTTATATCTTAACTTTTATTGCAATTAAACAAAATAAACTAAAATTTGAAAAAAAATAGGTCAGAAATTACACTCAAACTATTTGCACTGTCATAGTTTTGCATCAATATTACAAATTTATTTGCATTACAACTAAACACTGCCAAAAGAATAGATATTCCACTAGAAGAAAATTGTTGGGAAATGGGGTCACTGAAACTTTGGAGGAGAAGCTCTGAGGCGTGTTTAGAGACACTGTCTTTAGAACGTTATTTGTCCCCACTCAATTTCACTGAGTTTGCTGTTGGGTTTTAGGTAAATCCATTCCCAGGATATAACAGAGCCTTGGGCGAGAATCTGCAACCAACAAAGTTGAAGAGTCTCTGAAGAAACCTTCTATGAGACTGTAGCAGACCAGATTGAGACAGAGAGAGAGAGAGAGAAAGTGAATTTCGAAGTTGTATGTGAAATGCCTGATTTATGCTCTTTAAATAGTTTCTGAAGAGTTATGAAGAAAAGGTAGGTACTAGTTCAGAAAAGGCACATTGAATAGTCACATTTTCAAACATTGTGACTGTTTAAAAAGTAATTAACATTAATGATTGTTAATTTTGATTCTCATTAATGGTGATCAACGATCAACATCACACCAAAACCAAAACCGCCATTTGCGAGCCACGCGGGTGCACGCAAAGTGTGCCTCTAAAGCGCCTCATTGCGCCGCACAAACACGCGCGTTGCACAGTATCAAACCTCCATACTCTCATCTACTATTTCTAAGGAGTGTAAATCAACTCCTATTAAAAAACGCAAAACAAAACTTGCAAATATCCAATGTGGGACAAGTTCAAAACTAATTTTAATAAGAGAAAAGTTGTTTCCTAAAACAAGTGTGCAAGTGCAATTTTTCATGTAATTGACCAATCAAACCCATTGAATTTAATCTCTAATGAGATTAAAATCCAACAAAAATCTTCAATACTAGTCCATTTATTGCATCAATGTGAATAAATGCAAATAGATGTTTTTTCCTACGACCAAGTACGCTAATTAAAATTACAAGAGACAATCAGACACTAGCAGAAGTCATCAATATCTGTTTATTTTTACTGAACCATAACCATTAAAATCAAAACCAAATAAGTAAGATTATTACTTGATGATACTTGTATGTAGCAAAACCACAACTGAATGGTCCAGTACTAAAAGAAAACTGAAAACAACTAACAAGAGAGTTTTAATATTGCATAACTAACTAGCATATATAATTAATAATTAATATCCAGCTTAATTTCTTTAACATACATCTTTATCGAAACTAGTATGACATCTCTCCATCCGTGGTTTCTTCACAAATGAGAGATATGAAACTCTTATATATTTCATGCTTAACAAGATACGTTGATATGACCGAGTAAAGCAGATCGACCATGGGTTGCCTACATCTGTTTTCGATTCACTTTCCTACAATTATTAACCCGAACTTGTCCTTGATTTCCGGTCAATGTTCTTATATTTCCCATTTTAATCATAGACTTGGCGAAATCTATTGAGAAAGCGCCTGGGTTTAAGCTGTATGTCTTCACTAGAGCATCGGTAAAGTCATTAAACAAAGCTTGATATGTGGGAATAAAACCATTATTCTTCACCAATTTCTTTAAATATGTTACAGTTAATGTGCTAAAAAGTTAAATATTTTATATTTTATTTTGTTTTTTTAGRATATGTAAAAGATAATTTTAGTTGGGTCTTTTCTACCTTTTTTGTAAACTTGGTTAGTTGTAAAAGTGTACAGAAGAAGCTTCTATTCGGCTTGCTTAAAAAGCTATCTTTTGGTATTACTCTTTGTAAGAAATCAGAATACATATGAAGATTTTTTTTCAGCCCTTCTCTTGCGTTGTTTTTGCTTCAATTTATTGCATGTAAGTCCTCTCTTCAGAACATATTCTCCACTTTACATGCACCCATAGTTGGTTGAAACTACAGCCAAAATCTAACAAGTAGTACCAGACCTGCAAGGTTCGTTGGAACAAGTTTGGGTGCAAGAAAAGTTGAAAAAAAAATTGATTGTGAAAAACAAACAATAACCAACACTAATGTTGTTAATTTAAGCACAATCCAAGTTCCTATTTTTTATGGAGAAGACTGATTTCTGGTATGTTAAAATGAAAACTCTATTCTTGTCTTTGGATTTATGGGATATTGTTGTCCTTAGATATGCAAAACTAGAAAACGTAGTAAATCTCACAGTAGCTCAACAAAAAGAATTAAAGGACAAGAGAAGTAAAAATGCGGAAACACTTTCAATAATTCAAAGAGGAATTAATAGATCTATTTTTCCAATAATAATGAGTAATGAAAAGGCAAAAGAAGTTTGGAATACACTTTAGTAAGAGTTTCAATGAGATAAAAAGGTATGGGCTATTAAACTCCAATATCTTAGAAGAGATTTCGAAAATATGAAAATGAAGGAAAATGAAAATTTAGATGATTATTTCATTAGATTTATGGAGTTGATAAATTAGATGAAAGCACATGGTGAAAATTTTGATGATAAGAGGATTGTTGAGAAGATTTTAATTAGTTTATCTGAAAATTTTGATCATATTGTGGCTGTTATTGAGAGATCAAAGGATCTCAATGAATTAAGTGTTCAAGAGTTGTTGGCATCACTAAAATCATATGAGAAAAGATTGGCATGCCACTTCAAAACATCAATAGAGAGTGCATTCCAATCCAAGCTCAATGTTAGATCCAAAAGTCATGATAGAACATCCTCAACCCAGTGTTGATTACTTTGAAACATTTGCTCCCATAATACGATTGAATTTTGTTAGAGCTCTCATTGCACTTTCTGCCCACAAAAATTGGTTGTTATGGCAGCTTGATATTAAATCAGCTTTTTGAATGGAGAATTAAAAGATGTGTATGTAGAACAATGACACGGCATTGTAATTCAAGGTAAAGAAGAAAATGTGTATAAGTTGAAAATGCTCTATATGGGTTAAAACAAGCACCAAGGGCATGATATAGCCAAATTGATGCCTACTTTGTTGAGAAATGATTCATGAAAAGCAAGAAAGAGCCTACTTTGTATGTGAAGAAACAAGGTATGGATGATGTTCTCATTGTTGCTCTTTATGTTGATGATTTGGTTTTTACTGGAAACAATATGAAAATGATTGAAGATTTCAAAAATGAAATGGTGAAAAAATATGAAATGAGTGACATGTACATCACTTTTTTGGTATTGAAATTTATAAAGGTGATGATGGCGTATTCATTTATCAAAGTAAATATGCTGAAAAAGCTCTCAAAAAATTCAAAATGTTTGAATGCAAACTTGTAGCTATTCCACTGGTTGTCAATGAAAAATTAATGAAAGAAGATGATGGTAAAAAGATGGATGAAATCTTGTAAAAAAGCTTGGTTGAAAACTTATTTTATCTCACTATTACAAAACTGAACATCATGTTTGCTACAAGTTTACTGTCCAGATTTATGAACAGCCCCAATCACATTCATTTTGGAGCTGCAAAAAGTGCTAAGAATGTGCAAGGCACTATGGATTATGGAATTAAATATTACAGAGGAAATGAAGTAAGATTGATTGTTTTTTTTGACATTGATTGGGGAGAATGTGCTGATAACATGAAAAACACCTATAGTTATTGTTTTTCCTTGGTACTCAAAGAAACAAAAATCAATGGCTCAATCTTCAGTAGAAGCAGAGTATGTTTCAGCTTCAATGGCAACATCTCAAACAATTTGGCTTAGGAGAATTATGAAAGATATTAATGAGAAATAATAGAATGCTACCGTGATTCACTGTGACAACAAATCTGCCATTGCTATGTCAAATAACCCATGCTATCATAGCAGAACCAATCACATTGCTCTCAAACATCACTTCATTCGAGATGCCATTTGAGATGGAGAAATTGAACAAGTGTTTTGTAGGATTCAAGAGCAATTAGTTGATATTTTCACCAAATCATTGGCAAGAGAAAAGTTTGAAGAATTAAGAAAAGCATTAGGAGTCGAACAACATCACATTAAGGGGGAGAATGTTATAGTTAATGTGCTAAAAAGTTAAATATTTTATATTTTATTTTATCTTTTACTATAGCATGTAAAAGGTAACTTTAGTTGGGTCTTTTCTACCATTTTTTGTAAACTTGGGCTAGTTGTAAAAGTTATAGAAGAAGTTTATATTTGGCTTGCTTAAAAAATCTATCTTCTGGTATTACTCTTTGCAAGAAACCAAAATATGTATGAAAATTTTTTTCAGCCCTTCTCATGCTCTATTTTTGCTGTGTTTTACTTCAATTTATTACATATAAGTCCTCTGTTCTAGAGCATTTTCTCCGCTTTGCATGCACCTAGTTGAAACTATATTCAAAACCTAACAAAATATGTTGTGTCAAAGTGCGTAGGTGTGGGGTCTAAGGGTCCCAAAGTAACGCCACCGCTACGGCATGCAAATCCGATTGTATGACCGCCAGAGAGTGCCACCAAATCTCTCTTGCTAGCGTCAGTTGTTGTTTCTTGAAGTTAGTGATGAGGCTCGATGATGGTCCAGGGAGGTGTTGGATCTCATTCGTGTAAGCATGTAAAGATTTTCAAACCCAACAATGAGCTTCAACAATTATATATAGCAATAGTCTCCGGTGGAGAGTGTTTGTTATGTTGTAAAAGGTTGTGGTT